AGCTCGGACCCAGGCACCCACCCGCAGGGCAGGGGCTGCCAGAGCCGTCTGACCAAGGGGCAGCTACGGTAAGTAAGCATTTACAAATTAGGATATCGATTGCTTTGCAATTAGCTATTGCACACGTATCAAAAAGGCTTAGGGCAGGACAATTTAGAAGCATTTTGTGTTTGGAAAATGGGACGTGAAGCCCTGGGGCACCAGCTTCAGTGACCGCATCTGGCGCTCACCGGCTAAAAGCTTTCTACCGCCCTCAGTTACAAGCAACAGGACAAATAATTGCAGTCTATCACCCTGCCCCTTCTTACCAGAGCCTGGGGAGGAAAACACCTCTGTTTACTGAGCAAATAAAACTGCAGAGAACAAGAAGAACGTGAGCTCCTTTACAGGCAATTCTCACCTTCATGCCAAAGGTGAAGATCGTGATGAAGACTTTCATTATCAGGGCCAACGCCAGCTGCCACATGGCAGTGTAAACCCCAGGGCCAGCGGCTCGGTCTGGCAGGTCATCCCCTTTGGTGCTGTTGAAATCATTCACGTACTCGCAGAGCTTGGAAGAGTCCAAAATCCCACAGTCGTTGAAGAGCTCAGAAATGAGCTCGCTGGTGCTCATTCTGGTGTACTCGTTGGGGAAGGCCAGAACGGCCGTGATGGCAGTCACCACAAACACCTCCAGCACCGGGTATTTACCAAGCTTGGTCGTCTTGCGTCGCCTGCACCAGGCAATGTTGCTGCGAATGAAGAAAGCTCCCCAAAGCCCACCGAATATTCCCAGGAGGATGAACGGCACAAGCTCCAGCAGGTGCCACGGCATGTGAAATTCCACGTAGAAGAGAACCAGGCGACTGTTCCCGAACGGGTTGATGGAGCGCAGGGTGAACGCGGCGACCAGCGCGGCGAAGAAGGACCTCCACAGCGTCTTGAGAGGAAAGTAGTAACTGACCTGAAGAGGAAGAGCAAAGCAGACGCAGTCACTTTAACGTCTGTCACTGCACCGATCGCTGCCCAGTAACAAAGTCCCCCCTGCGTGAAGTAAGAGCACGGACTGGGAGGGATGTGCACTGGCTCACAGTCTCCTCTCCAGCCAAGCACCCAGGCTTTATCCTGGATTGCAGTGACCGTGATGGGTCCTGGCCCGCGTGCTTCCAACGCAGAACGTGCCCTCGACGGTTCCTGAGGTGGTGGTGACTTACTCTGAGAATCAAAGCTGTTACAGATCAGCTGCGAGCTGAATCCGGAGAACTATTTGCCTTGCACGCTCTGCAAAGTCCAGAAGTGCCAACAACTGTGCTGGCCAGAGCTGCCAGGGTTGCTCAGCTCAGCAAAACCATCCCGTTCCTCCCCAAGCTACGCCCTGAAGCAAGCAGCAGTGACCCATTTCACATCTGGATCAGAAGAAGAAGGACAAGAGGTTCCTTGGGAAGAAACGGGCTTTGATAAGCCGGGTAGGTTTGCTCCCAGGTACCCTGGGACAGAGCTGTCAGGAGCGAGCGGACATACGGAAAACATGGCAGAAGCTGTGCCTGTGAGCAGTCAGCGCTGCTGAGCACGGACAGACCAGGGGAAACCAACAGATTTATTGCAAAGCTATGGATAGATGTCGTCCAAAATAAATTCTCCAGTATTCATAAGGATTACCTGAAAGCCCAATAAGCTTTCAGGTTGCGTGGCCTTGTAAAGACACCACCAATCCGTATTCCCAACATGGTCTCCTTCCCACACCCCAGCAGCTATGAGCGGACTGTATCTTTAAACCAGCAGGGTCAGTTCTCGCAATAAAACAGCTCGCCAAGAGCTAACAGAAAATGCTGATGTTACCTCTTCCAGACTAAAGAGCACTCCTCCGATCGGGGCACCGAAACGCACCCGCTTATAAAACCTAAGGGAGAAACCACAGGGAGTCAGACATTGCCAGCCCCCCCCCAAACCTTCTCTCCTTTTTTTTTTTTCTGTCTTTAAATTTGTATGGCTTTTCCCTCCAGTGAGTGCACAGCAAGCCATGGCCTGACCTGTTTTAAGGACAGCAGGGAAAAGATGGAGTGAGCCAGCTCCCCTGGGAGCAGGGCTGCAAGGTGCTGGCGTTCCAGCAGTCCCACCCCCAGAGCAGCAAGGGTGGCATCGCTGGCCACCGCCTTTGGCCGTTTCAGCAGAGCTTGTGCTGTTCGCTTCCACCTTCCACCCAGCTCCAGCGAAGCAGGACAGCAGTGAGGGCACCTCCCGGAACCCACCGACTCTTCCCGTGCCTGCCTGTCCCACCTTCGCACCACTTCTCCAAAGAGGGTAACGCAGCGTAACGAGGGGTGCTGGGGGCCACCCAAAACCCTGCCAGCCCCCTTGATGGGTCCTGCTGGGTTTGCTTTAGCAGAAGGTAAACTGGCCAATGTGACACTACGCTTCTGACATTAACTGCTCTCCAGTGGCTTGTCCAGAGAAAAGCCTTGCAGCACTGCGAGGAAACGCTCACGAGCTTCACGTTAGATGTTAGCTTGGTTCATCGCTGTGTTGCTGAAAGCAAAGCCCTTCGTTCCGCTCCTACGGCCAGGTCCCTCAAGCAGTCCCACGTGGCACGCACAAACCGGCGCTGCAGGACTGGGTCCGCAGCAGGCTGGTGCCAGGGAGCACTCCCATCACAAATGAGACGGCGACTGCGCTGGGGAGATGCCGGGGTGTCACTTCCCGACCTGGATGCCTTTTGCTCCAGCTAGGCATTGCGCTGGGGCACGCTGAGAACGTGCCCAAACCAGTTTGCAGCCAGTGCAAAGCACCAGACCCAGCAGTCTCCCCGTGCCACCTCAGCAGTTCGGCCGCATCGGTGTCTCCCCGTACCTCTCTGCGCTTCGCCTCGTTCTTCCTGTACTTGGTGAAGAGGTGACACAAGATGTTTCCACAGCAGCAGGCGACGTGGACCAGGGGCCCCTCTTTGCCCAGGCTCAGCCCAGAGGACACTGCCAGCACTAAGGTGATGGTTTTGATGATCAGCGTCCACTTGCCCAGGTAGCCTCTAATGATGAAACCACTTAAGATAGTTTTGATCTGGAAGTCAAGCACACAAAGCTCTACAGGCTTTCATTCAAGCCCTGGTCAGAGCTCCTGTTTTACTCGGCGCTCCCAATCCTGCCCTCAGCTTTCCCCTAGAGCTTTCAGAGTCCCTCCCCAGCTATCAAAAGTAACGTAGAGTCAGCAAAAATATCCCTCTGTGCAAAGGCAGAACCGGCCCTTTGAGTCCTGCCTCCAGGGCCACCATCCCTGCTGAAGAAAAACCCGAGGCTAGCTTTTACAGCCTGGCATCGGCAAATGGTGCGCTTTTGTTCGCACCTCCTGCGGTAAATGCCAAAACATTTTAGTTTTTGAAGGGATTGCAAGGAGACTCCAGCACTTAAAAATGCTTCAGGAATAGTTTGGATAAAACCACATATATCAAGCCACCATCCAAAGTGCAAGGAGTTGTTATTCCTCAGCAGGCACGCGTAACCTCTGGATGGTGGAGCCCTACCCCACCTCCAGCAAACCCAGCCCACTCTCATTCCGCCTCACCTCTGGGATCCCGGAGCCGCAGGCGTAAGGAGCAAACCCCTTCACGAGTAACACAGCCAGCAGGGAGAACAACAAGGCCCAGATAACGTACATGAAGTAGTTGAGAATATACGCGAAAGCCCCCTGAAACGCAGAGTTACCCACATGAGATCGCTCCAGCTGAGCTCACGTCCAGCCCGCGCTGAAGCAAGCACGCAGGAACAGCAGGTGGACTCACACACAGTCACAAAACCACAGAATGTTCGGGGCTGGAAGGGACCTCTGTGGGTCATCCAGTCCAAACCCCTGCCGAAGCTGTCACCAGCCAAAACCAGAGAACTACAGTAAATCCGAGGTTTTCAAGGACAAGTTGCATCTGCGGGGTTACAGGGACATGAACTACCTCCAAAGACCATGAAGGCTGTGCTGCCATTCAGCGTGACCTGGATAGGCTGGAAAGCTGGGCAGAGAGGAACCTGATGAGGTTCAACGCCAGTGGGATCCTGGGGTGCATCAAGAAGAGTGTGGCCAGCAGGACGAGGGAGGTTCTCCTTCCCCTCTACACTGCCCTGGTGAGGCCTCATCTGGAGTACTGTGTCCAGTTCTGGGCTCCCCAGTTGAAGAAGGATGAAGAGCTACTGGAGAGAGTCCAGCGGAGGGCTACAAGGATGGTGAGGGGACTGGAGCATCTCCCCTACGAGGAGAGGTTGAGGGAACTGGGCTTGTTCAGCCTGAAGAAGAGAAGGCTGCGAGGGGACCTAATAAATGCTTATAAATATCTGAAGGGTGGGTGTCAGGAGGATGGGGCCAAGCTCTTTTCAGTGGTGCCCAGTGACAGGACAAGGGGCAATGGGCACAAACTGAGGCACAGGAAGTTCCGTCTGAACATGAGGAAGAACTTCTTCCCTCTGAGGGTGAAGGAGCCCTGGAACAGGCTGCTCAGGGAGGTTGTGGAGTCTCCTTCTCTGGAGATATTCAAGACCCGCCTGGACGCGGTCCTGTGCAGCCTGCTCTGGGTGACCCTGCTTCGGCAGGAGGGTTGGACTAGATGACCCACAGAGGTCCCTTCCAACCCCTACTATTCTGTGATTCTGTGACATGGAACAACAAACCAGGTGCACAAGTCCCTTGGTGCTGGGTGAGCGTTGTCCCAGTCAGGTGGGCTGCTGCACTGGCTGGAGCTGCCAGAAACGCAAGACCTGAGCTCGCCTGGCGCTCCTCTGAAACGTTCACGGGCAGAGCACCCTCCAATCCACAAGCCTCAGACGCGGGGCTAAAACACCGCGCTCGTACACGTGGCCGTGCTTTGCTTCCCCCCAAACCTCCCAGGGCAACGCGCGAGGAACGTGCTGGAGTTTACTCGCACCTTGGAAGCCCCGCCATGCCCGTTCAAGCACTGGACCACCCCGAGCCTGCACTCCTGGCACCCACACCCCGATCACCAGCAAGGGATGATCCGGGCTGGGGAAACAGGGCGTTTCGGCAGCAAAACCAGTTGTAGGCACACGTCACCTCTCCGTGGCCAAGGATCAGCTGGGACCAGCTCTTCCACTCGGGACACTTGTCTCTGTCGGTGAAGGTTGTGCTGGACTTCCAGCAGCAGTGCTCGTGGTTAAACCAGAAGCCCGCCAAGCACACTCCTTCCTTCAGATCCGTCATCCAGTGGGCAGAAATGTCAATCAGACCCGCCAAGGAACCTAGGTTAAAGGAAAGATTCAAAAAGAGAAAATTTAATAACCGCCTTATGCAGACTCAAGTATCCGAAGGTTACAGCCTGCCCTACTCATTTTTTACTCACCTACCAACAGAGTAGTACTGATATTTTTGCCTACAATTAACTTTTATTCTATAGAGAGCTAAATGGGAAGATTTGCTTAAGAATGTACATTGAAAAGAGTAGGTCAGGAAACAAAAAGCATTCCTAATAACATTTTGAAGGTTGACCCATGCAAACTGCGTTCAAACCCACCCTGCACCACTAGAAATTAATTCTTCTCCATCTCGCTGACACAGCGCAGGCAGCGGCCCGGGGGGCAGAGGGGGACGGAGGGCACTGCTGGAGGACGCAGAGAAGGCGCGTCACCGGTCTCCAGCGCAAGAGCTGGAACCCAGGAGTTACACTAACAGACTGTGACAGGAGTGGCTTTGAAGTTGGAGAAAGCATTTCCAATTCCAATTAAAAAAAAAAAAGAGGGGAAGTTACAACTGTGCCAAGTGACAGAAAGCAGAGAGCCAGTACACAAAGTAATTCAGATTTTAAAAGAGCAATCTGCAAGTAATTTCTTATTTTTCTGTTAAGAAACGCTCCTACAGTCCCCAAAGATAAAAGCTGCAGTCAGCTCTGTCCTCGGTGAAACCCACATCAACACGGGGACCTCTGATCTGCAGGAGCACAAGCTCCAGAGGCAGCAATAAACATTTAGCAGATCTTCCAGTTAATGAAAAACCGGCTAGCAGCTTTCCTACATAAATATTAACAGAGGATTCAACTTCATTCCTCGTGACGAACGCTCAGCTGCTTTCCGTCGGGAAGACCTGCATCCAGCGGATTGACTTCTGCTGCACCGGGTCCAAAGTTCGCTTCTGAAGTCACTTAAGAGGTGTCTCAGCCGGTCACCCTCCGCTAGCAGCCCCACTTCCCCAGAAACACCTCTC